AAAAATATATATATATATATGTATAATAAAAGTAATTGAAAAGAAAAAATTTCGCGTTAAAAAGGAAAAAAAAAGTGAAAAATATTTCTCTTTGTTTAATTGAAATAATTGAAATTCACAGGCAAAATAAACAAATCTTAATAAATTTAGTATAATTACGAAAATATAAAAGGGAAAATTTTTTTTTTTTTGTTTACGTACAAAAAAAAAAATTTTTTTTGCCATACTGACTTTTGGTATATCCGGATAGTTTAAAGTCATACAAATATATCAAATATATAAAATTTATATAATATGTAATATATATATTATTAATTTTATTACCAAATTATTGTGTGTTATGTATACAGTATAAATTTATCAAAAAAAGTCATTTATCATGATATTATAATAATTTCCAATTAAGATTCTTACCGTTGATAAAAAAAATCATCACATGTACATAATGTTACATTTTTTTTTGTACAATAATTATGTCATTTATATATATTCGGCCGTGCTGCGACCGTGTAACTATACTCGAAAATGTATTTTGACTAATTTGTTAGATTTCGTCTCACGATTTTTTTGTGTTGTGATTGTTGCGTAACTTGTACGTAAAACTTAAAGAATGGTCTTATGTATGACACTTTATACTTGTAAGAACGCACAATTGTACAATTGTGTATGCACTTTTAAAAAATTTTAATATACTTGTAAAAAAAAAAATACACTTTAAAAAAATTCAGGGCAGACGATTTTCTTTTTTTAGTTCAAAGATGTCAAATAAAATATCTTAATATATTTCATATTTTTTAGATTTAAAAATACATTTTTTTTTTCTTCTAATAATATAATATATACTAATTACATACATATATAATAATTTTTTTTTGTTTTTTTTTTTTTAATCTTAACTATTTTCCATCTAAAAACTAAAAAAATATATATATAAAATATATATATATATATATATAAAATAATAATATAATAAAGTTCTAAAAATACTTTTGGTAAGATAAAAGAAAAGAAAAAAAAAAAATAAAAAGAGATTCTATACACAATATATATATATATAAGGATAATGATATAATAATAATATAAAGGAAAAGAAAAAGAGAAAAAAGAGTAAGGAGAAAATATATAATACTTTTTGGTAAGATATTAAAATCTAATAATTATACAAAAAAAATAAGTGAGGATCAAAATTATTAAAGAATTAATCCTTTGATGAAAAAAATATTAGCAAAGAATATTACAAAGATTAGGTGATAACAAATAAATTCAAATTCACGAAAAATTAAGTTATTATAATAATATGATTCTTCTTTCCAAACCTATTTCTACGTTGTTCAATGTTCGTGGTATCCGTCACTTTAATATGTAATGGATGATGTTAAATGATGTTGTAATTATACTAATTAATAAATTATACTGATAAACCCATGTAGAAAGCATGTAGTAACTCGATAAGATATAATTATCATTAAAAACGTTAATCCTCATTTTTTAATGGTGGCTTAACTTGTTTGGATGATTTAAAAGGCATAGATCTTCGCAACGCCAAACAATACTTTCCACCAGAAAGGAGGAAAAAAAGAAAATTACAAAGTGTAAAAAAAAAATTTTTTTTTTTTTTTTTTCAAAAAGAACTAATTTCATGTGTCTTAAACGAATTCTGGAAATCATAACTAAACATATCAAAGGGCTGAGCTACATATGGGTTTATATGAACTTTTTCTTAAAAATGAAGCGACCTCCATCACGAACAATGAACGTAAAAAGAGCTTTTGGTAAAAAAAGAGAACGAAAAAAAAGGGGGGATAATAATAAATGAAATCATTAAAAAATTGTAATAATATAATAAATCATAAATTTGTAATTCATTAGTTATCAACTTATTCAATCGTCTTTTTGGTTCGTTTGTTAAAAGTTGACGCCCTCTTCAAAGAGGAGAGGGATTGTTCTTATATTCTTCACCACACAACTTCACTACCACAACACCATCGGACCAAACACCAATCGGACCAAACACCATCCGATACGACATTGGGTAAGTTATTGAACTTTACTCATTGCGTTAGGTCTCATTTGATTAATTGACATTGAGAAAGCTTTAGACTTTTGAATAGAAGGGCGTCGATAAGCTCCCTTCATTGACCGAAAAGAATTATCAACTCTCGATTTCGGTGATGGTGGGGGAGATTGTGAAGCGAGTGGCATTGTTGTTGAATATGATGGTGGTGGTGCGAGAAGTGGAGAAACGAGTGAGCGGCATGAAACAAGACGCGCTTCGATACTCTAAAAAAAATTAAAATTATCAAAAAGTTAAATAAAATCTACCTACATAATTTTTTTTTTAAAAAAAAACATTTTTTAAAGTTATTTTTTATTTACCTTTACTCTGCCAACCATTTCTTGAACCATTTTGACGGTATTTGAATTTTGATCTAGTCTTCCTGTATTTGTGGTTGATACTTGAGATACTTGAGATGGTTGAGGTGCTGGTGAATTATAGATTTCCTTCTTTGGTGGAGAAACAGGTTCTGAAGATGGTAGCGGTGGTCCTAGCTCACCATCTTGTTTGTTCTTCAATATAGCCAATTCAATATGTACATCTATAAAAATATAAATTCTCAATGAACAATCATTCCAAAGTAAAATATATTATGTTTCTGTTCAAAAAACCCACCTTTCAATTCGTCCTTAAGACGTTGTACTTGTTCAATTAAACTATTCTTGCCTTCTAATTCATTTTCGAGAATTACATTACGTTCAATTGCTTTATTGTATTTATTTTCTAAATCCAACAAAGAACTTGTTGCGGCTCTAAAATTATAATAATATATATTAGTTTTTTCTATTTTTTTTCTATTTTTTTCTATTTTTCTATTTTTTTTTTTTAAAAAAAAAACTAACCTTTCGTTACGTTCTAAATCATCACAATTAATCTCAAGGTCTCGTGTTTTAACCACAAATTCTTCCTGTAAGTTTCTTAGAGAATCCAGTTCTCTTTGCATTTGTCTTTGATTCTCATTAGCTTCAGTTTGTGCATGTAAATATTTTCGCTATATTTTTAAAAAAAAGATCCATAAAAAGGGATTAAAATATAATCATTTTTATATATAAAAATATCCATAAATATCTATTCTATTAAACAAACCTTCCACTCTTCAGAATCGCGTATTAAGGATTCATTTCTTGCTTTAAGTTCTTTATATTTTTTTTCTGATTGCTCGAGTTCTCGTTCTAAATCCTCTTCTAACTCCCTAGATGTCATTTGAAATTCTTCTAAAGCATTTTGTGTTTCGTTTAATGTTTCTTCCATTGACATAGAATAAGTTTTATAGTATTCAAGCTCTTCTTTGATCGAAGAAAAAGTTCTAATTTTTTTTAAAAAAAATAAGAAAAAAAAAAATAAGTTAAAAAAGGTTCAAAAGATTAAAAAAATTAATTATTATATATTAACGACCGAGATTTCCACTTACTTTCCAGTCATTTTGAAAAAAATACGGGTTTTAAGGTTTTACAAATAAAAAGTTTTTTTTTTGTTGAAATTTAGGAGTGTTTTGTGAAATATAAAAGTATTTTATGTATATATATAAAAAAAACCAAATATTAAAAAAAAATAAGGGGAAAAAGAACTCCTTTTTTTTTTTTGAAAAA